GGGGGTGCTGGGCATTCCAAGGGTCCAACAGCTGGTAAATCAATTTTTTTTTTTTTTTTTTTTAAATTCTCCTTCTGTAGCACTTTAAATGTATGGAGTTTGCCTCCCTGACATCCAGGACACTCTTGCTGCCACGGAATCAGGCACGATTATGAGAAAGGGAAAGCGCAGTAAATGGAGACGGTAAAGAACGAACTCTTCGTATTGGGCCAGCAGGTTCGTGCAATCGCAATTAGGAGAAAGTTTTACCGCATCGGCCAGCATCTGCTGCTGGAGAAGAAGCTGCTGTTTCTGCTCCATGATCTGCCTCTGGAGAGTCTGTTTCTTTCCCATCAATTGCTGATTCAACAGTGATTGCTGAGAGTTCATGTAACCACTTCCAGTGTTTGGATTTGAGCAGGAGTTGGGACTTGGACTGGGGCCTGGGTTCTGGCCTACCACAGAGTGTTGATCCTAAAGAAGAGAAAGCAGTGGGGAAATGATACTGTGAATTAAAAGAAAAAAGAAAAGGAGCACAACGATCATAAGCTTAAATTCCAAACATTTTTCATCTGGTTAAAGATCAAACATGGTTAATGGGTTGAAGATCAGAGAATTGCTTTTTAAATGTAGAAGAAATAATTGCATATCACAGCAACCAGAGCAGCTGGGTTAATGACATTCGGGCACTGGAATGGCTCCTGTATGACTCTGATGCTGGACCTTCCACATTCCAGAAGGTGTTTATAGAACCTCAAAGAAAACGACCATAAAAACATACAGCAAACTTCTCAGTTTCTCAGGAACAAACACATCACGGAATAAAAAAATAAAATCCTTTCTTTTACTTAAAGTTAGCATGAATTATTGCTGAACCTGCAATGAAAATGATCTCAATTCATGTGTCTGAATAGCACTTTTGGACAGAAGACCCTGTGCCTTGCCCAGTTTTCTGTGACATGAAGGCAGGAAGGACAGTGAATTTCTGTTTGGCAAACACTCTGAAACTTGGAAGGGCCAACATTTCTCAGGGACTTGTTCCTTTTACCCCCTGGTCAATAATTCAGGAATAGGAAGGACCGTGAATTTCTGTTTGACAAACACTGAAACTTGGAAGGGCCAACATTTCTCAGGGACTTGTTCCTTTTACCCCCTGGTCAATAATTCAGGAATCTCAGAGCATTAACCCAGAAAAGGACCCCCACACCACTGACAAGGAGTATTGATTAAAAACTCACATTGTATATCAAATAATACAATGGCAAATTGCCATTCTAATTTGAGGTCTCTGCCAATCTTTAGGCATTGCAAGATCAGGGTCCTGTAGGGCAGAGAGCTCAAGTCAATCAAGTATTCTCACGTTCCCACTGATGTATTTAGGACGGAGCTGGAAACTAGTGGGGTTACAGGAAGGCTGGAAAAGATAGTCCTTGCCCTGGAGAATTTTTTTTTTTTAATTTAGGGAGTAAATGCTTACATGTATAAATACAAGAACATATAGAACCACATTTTAGATTATATAATAGTAGCACTGAGTTAAAGAGCCTCGCACTTGGATGACCATCAGCTGGGAAATATGTTATAATGCAGAGACCCTGGCCTTGCCCAGGGATTCTGAGGATCTAGATCAGGGTGCCTGCTCTTGTGAATCTGATGCTTTCCCTGGTCCAGGATAACACTAAATATATGGGAACAATAAAATTCAATTTGTGGGGCCAGCAAGTGGTATACTGGTTAAAGCGCTAGACACCTATATAGCTAACCACAGTTAAGAGTCCCAGGCCTGGCAGCTTGAAACTCATGCCAGGCGCATGTGTGTGCATGCCCCATATCCCAAGAGGACAATGGAGAAGAAATTGTGGCATGGCCATGCCCTCTCAGGGGTGATTTCTCTCTTTCTGTCAATCCAGCAAGTGCATGTGCCCTATAGCAAAAATCTCCAACACCTAAAATAATAAATAAATAAATAAATAAAATCCAATTCTCATTCCCCAAGAGGACTATGTGGAGTTAGAAGGGATTAAAAATATAAAGCAACTCTCATGATGCCTGGCAAATAGTAGGAGTATGTACACCTTTGTAGAATTTGTTTTTATTTTTGTTATAGGTCATGTGTACCCACCTGAAAGACAAAAAGAGGCAATAAGAGAGAAGGTGAGAAATCAGTCCCCAGAGGGTTTGGCCACTTCACAACCCCTTCTTCTCTCATCTCTTCCTGGGATTTGGGCACACATGCACACGTGCCCGGGGGGGGAGGGGGAGGTTCAAGTCAGCAGGTCTGGGACACGAATTGCTGTTCGCCATGTATGAATCCAGCACCTTAACCACCACATCACCTGCTGGGCCCCCACGTTCTCTTCCCTTTCGATTCCTTTCTGATTTTTTTTAAGTTATCAGCTAGGTAAAAAAAAAAAAAAAAAAAAAAAGACCACCAGTCCATTGCTTGGTGATATAGGACACTTGGGGACGCTCAGCTTGGCTCTAGTAACCCCTTGGCTCTAGTAACCCCTGTCGTGAGGACAGCCATCCACTGAGGCTCATTATAGGCTAGTCTCTGGGCTCTGTGCTTTCCATCATTTATCTCATTCATTTCTCCCAAATACAATGAGCAAGGAATTGCACTTTTTAAAAAGAATTATTTTATTATTATTTTATTGAACTTTATTTATAATTTACTTATTTTAATTGGACCAGAGAGGGACAGAGTGAGAACAAGAGCGAAAGCGAGAGAGAGACAGAGAAGAGGGGAGTGAGAAAGCAAGCTGCCAGGTCCAGGACTTGAACCACAGTTGGCCATGTGGGAGTCCAGAGCCCTTAAACACCACACGTGTGTGCAACCCCCAGAATTGCATTATCCCAGTTTTGTAGATGAAAAATGTGAGCTATAGAGATCACATGGTTCTAAGTCATAGAGGAGGATTTGAACCAGATCAGGCTGACTCCAGAACCTTACCTCTCTATTACTATACTGCCTCTCAGCTGAAACTAGAATCATCGAAATTTTTGTACTCTAAAACTGTGGCAACCCATGGGTTCATGCAACATTCCCCTTGGGCTTGAGCACCCTCAGATCAGGCAGGTCGAAGGGGACGTGTTGGGGAGAAGATGGAGGGTGAGGACAGGGGATTCTCTCAGCCAACAGGCAATTTAGTTCAGTGAGTACGCACGAGGTTCTGGAGTCACACAGATATAGCTTCAAATCCTCCATGACATACATAGAGCTATGCGATCTTTCTGAGCAAACAGAGGAGCAAATACACAGAGAATCGAGGGCTCAGTCCACCTAGACTAAGGACAGGGAAGCAGAGCCTGGGACTAGAGAAAGAGAAAGGTCGTGTAGAGACAACTGCAAGCAATTGTGGAGGACCTCAGGGTGAGAGAGAACACGCATGGTGGAGGCAGTGCTTGGCCCTCCACTCTCCACCTCAACCAGAGTAGAAACAGCCTGCTTTCTTCTGTGTTTTAATTTGGAGTTTCAGGTAAGACATTGAAAAATGAATTGTGTGTGTGTGTGTGTGTGTGTGTGTGTGTGTGTTTAACAATGGTTGACAAACAGGTAGACAAATTCAGTGCATTTTTCTTTTCCATTTTCTCTGCCTAGCATACAGTGGAGAAGAATACAAGCTCTAGAGACATGCCTACTTGGTTCATATCCTAGCTCTGGCACCTGTTGTGTGTGTGATCTGGCAGAAGTTAACTCACCTCTCTAAGCCTCAATTTCATTATCTGTAAAATGAGAACAGTAACTATGGACTCTATAGGGTCCCTATAAGAATGAGAAGAGAGGGACAAGTGGTTGATGTAATGGCTACGTTGCTGGACTCCCATGTAGTTGACCACAGTTCGAGTCCCAGGCCCAGTGGCTTAAACTCATACCAGGTACATGTGTGTGTGTGTGTGTGCCCAAGATCCCGAGAGGAGAATGGAGAAGAGACTGCGGCGTGGCTAATCCTCCTATCTCACTTTTTGTCTCTTTGTCTCTGTGTGTCGTTCTGGCGAACTCCTGCGCCCTATACCAAAAATCTCCCCCCCCCAAAGAAGGAAAGAATCCATGCTCATCATATAGTAAGCATGTACTAATCAGTGACTACTTATAATTATTAAAGTTATTTCAACATCATGCAGGAGTATTAATCCTATTTTATTTTATTTTTCTATCTTGAAGTAAAGGAGACAGGTTCGTGGATTGCAGAGAGCTGTTCTGGGTCAGCTTCCTCAGAAATATAGAGGTCTCAGTTACACTGCAGATTATGAGATATCTATGGACTCAGGGAATGACCTTCATCCTTCTACTTGCAGATGTCAGAAGACAGGTAGCTGCCAGAAGATGTGTGGAGTGTCAAGCTTTGATGAGCTATCTTTTATTATTAAGTTTTTAATGCCAGAGGTGAGAAAGAGTGAGAGAATGAGAGAGAGTGAGAGAGGGAGAGAGAGAGAGAGAGAGAGAGAGAGAGAGAGAGAGAGAGAGAGAGAGAGAGAGAAAAGATCTCTGAGAGATACGTGTGCACGCACAA